ATCTTCTGCTGCTGGGCTGCTTGCAGGCTGCCAAGTATTTCATGCTGGAGATGGCCTAATGTTGTTCAAAATATTCCTTCTGCTGCAGACGGAATGATTTGAACACACTTAAAAATAGAGGGCTGAATACCATTACTCCATTTAGTTTGTAAAATAGTATCATCTCCCTGTTTAAGATGAGAAATCAAATGTGTTCATATCCTGTGTTATATTTGTTTGTGCAATAATCTTTGTGTGGTAGAGCAAGCCAGTGAATTTCACTCCAGGTTACAGTCTGCTTTTTCTGTTAGAGGTAATTCTATAGCTGGAAAAAAGCACTGTGTTTAAGCACCAACGAGCCAACTAGCGGTGCATGGGTTGTGTTTGAAAGTGACATCTTGTTCTGGAGTGGTGTGCAGTGGGTTGAGGGTGAATCCTTTAGAGGGAAATCCAACACTAACAGTAGGAACCTTTGAGTTTTGGTTTGTTTAGTTTGTTTATGTTAAAAAAAAACTTGATCTTGATGGCTCATTGTGAGTAAGTGCACTAAAACCAAAACAAGACATTCCATCATAAATTCATGTTTAGTGTAAAATATTAAGAATAACTCAGGGTTGGATTTTTTTCTGATAAAACTACCACTCTGACTAATTCATATATCTCTTGCCCTTCAGGGTGGAGTGGACGGAGGCTACACCAAGGAGAAGATCCGCATCGTGGAGGGTGTGTGTCTCCTGTCCAATGAGGAGCTTTACTGGGACGACCTAAAACAGATCAAGCCGTCCCGAGGCGGCCTGCACACCTGCATGCGCACCGACACCGTGTCCCTGCAGGCCAGCAGCGCTTCACTAGACGACGGCGAGACAGAGCAGCTCCTCCAGGAGGAGGCGTCCGAATGCTCCTCCATAACCACCCTGACCCCTTCAGCCATCACCCCTCAGCGTCACGCCCAACACAGCCTGCCCGACACCGGCTGGGCCTCCTCGCGCAAGCCCTCCACGGAGAGCGAGGTGTGAGGGAGGCTCCCACTTTCCTCCATGCTTTAACAATAACCTCCATTACCTAATACAAACGCACACACCTGTATTTATAGCTGGTACAAACACACAGAAACAGAAATACTGTTAGTACAAACACAGAACTTGTTGCATACGTAGAGTAACGGTACATATAAACCTGGTTACACACAAATAAGCTCACATAAACACAACTCCTGTCTCTGAAACTGGGGCTCCGTCCTACTTGTGCACACAAACACACACACACACACACATGCAGTACAGTCTTGGAACAGAACCCTCAATGCTACTGCCTTTAGGCAACTTGATAAACTAATGAGCATGCTGGAATAAGAAAAGCAAAGGACTCTGGGGAGGAAGTGAACAGAGAGACACAAGCGTTACCTGGAGCCTTTTTCAAGGATGCAGACGCTCAATGCGACAGACGCTTCTCTGTGTACAACTTCACCTTTATTTTGAAGTGGACTTTTTGTCCCCTGGACAACGCTAAAACATACTCTCCGATGCCACTCATGACTTGATGAACTCTATTTATGAACCTTTTTTTTGTACTAGCCGAGTGGGTTTGCTGGCGAGAGTGTTGCATTAGAACTTTGTTGCAGCAGGACCCCCCCGGGGGTTTTCAAAAGTTGTATTTATAACAGTGCCAAAGGGTGGGGCTTCACAGAGTCTCCATGCTTCTTTCTGCATTTAAACATCAATAGAAATATATCCTAATTTACAGGGTGTTCATTTTGTTTGACTTCACTGACTTTGCCCTCACCAGTGGGAGACCTCATGATTCCTCATTTTATTTTTGATTTTACAGCCTTTTAACAGGTCATTGACTTACTGTAGCTGCTACTGGCAGCTCCATTCATTCTCTGCAAAACTATCCTGAAAGCAGCCTTTTGTCTTTCTTTCTTTTCATTTTAAAGTTGTTATTCAACCATTGTTGATCCTCTGGCTTAGCAGACAAAGTCAATATGAAGTAACAGCCTAAGTGCCAAACATTTCATTCTTCTTCTTCCCTCAGCTGAATATTTATTTTTCTCAGAGGTTTTTAAAACGTTAGGGACATTTCTTCAACTTGGGTTTGGTCAACCATATCAAAGAAAAAAAATATTTTTTTTCTAGCTATTCAGCCATGCAGATAGCTTTGGGTTTAATTACCTTCAGACTGTCTTATGTTTCAGGGATGTCTTCCCCAGGGTTTTTTTTCATGGGTTCTTCTGAAAACATGAAACTCGATCCTTGGGTTTATTTACAAGATAATAAATAGTTTTCTACGACAGCACTTATTACAAGAGATTGAAGCGATTTGATTTAACAATGAAGGGCCACACTCTCTCAGCTAATGAAATCAGACGATGTTGAAGCTAAAATCTCAGTTATCTTAAACTATTTAAAAAGGCATTAAGGGATCCCAGACTTGTTTTTTTTTACCTCTTTGTCCAACTACAGTATGTACTCTTGCTTTTAGAAAACAAATAATTCAATTTCACAAAATGACTAAGCTGACTGAGATCATTTTAAGAAAACTGTGTTGTTGTGACAATTTTTTGAAATATTTCAATCACGTGAAATAACAGTCTTTGTTCCTATTCGAGGTAATCACAAAACTTAAAGCTCTCTGTTGAGTTATCATTCGGGCAGGTTTCATGGTAAAAGCAAAATGGCCGCCTTGGCACAAAGAACCCAAAGTTTCTGCATGGCTAAATGCTAACAGAGGTAGATAAGCTCATTGGTACTTTTGGTAATTTGAGTTTTTGACACATCAACTCTGAATCTGTAAAGCAAAACGTGCACTTGCAGTTTCTGTCGCAGTACGCTGTGGGAACGTTAGGAACACTGTGCATGTCTGACCCCATCAGACCTCGAGGGTTATAGTGTAGAAATATATCACTGACAACTTACTGAAATGACTTTAATACAAGTTAAAAGATATTATGCATCGCTTTAACGTTTAGAGTACCATTCTGTTTGCTGTTGAAAAATGGTACGAGGAAATGAGTATATTACTATATCGACAAATATATTGGTTAGACTTAACAGAATTTTTGAAGTATCTGCTACAAGCTCAGCAGTTTGCTGATTTGCTGCTAGACGAAGCACTGAGGTCAACGAACGAGGGGTCTCGGCAGCTACATAACCACGGTCTCTGACGATTGGATGGAGCATCACGGCGACCCAGTTACCGATCACCCTGGCTCCAACAGTCCCTCCAACTCTGCTGCAGGAATGCGTCAAACTGTACAGATTTTATCACGCGGACATAAGCATTTCAACATTTCTATTGAAGATATTCCGTTGATTAAGTTGTATAGTCTTTTGTACAAAGGGATTTCATGAGCGTTTTTAGACTTGTGTTAATTTTACTCACTGGAGAAGAACTTTTTTTTTTTTTTTTTGCTGGATTATTTTAACCACTGTGTTTCCAAGCCTTGTAAATGATAGGGAAGATGCCAGTTATTTAATAGTGCTCTTTTTATCTTCTGAAATACTGGTCGCGTATAGCTGTTGTAAAGTTAACAAAAAGAGGTATTTATGATTTCTGTTTTGGTTGTCACTTGATGTGTAAATATGAAAAGACTGTATATGTATTTCCATGGCAGTACTAACAAGCTGTGTTGTGTGATATAGTGAATTATCCCTTTGCTATCTTTTAATATAAAATTGCATTTGCATTTCAATGAAACTTTTGGCTCACTCGTCTATGAATCTGCGTCTGCTGATCGTTCCAGATATAACAGCGGCTTCAATAAAGGAAACCAGAGAGTCACAGTGTGGATGCATGATGCCAAATCCTCCAGCATCAATATTTATTTTGTCTTTATTTAAAGGCATACTTGGATATATTTAGATCAATAGACAGGTAGTATTTATAAGTTAAGGCTTTAAATACTAGGTAATAGAAAGTTCTGAATCCAATTTTTATCTTTGAGGGATTTCTATACACACAACAGACATACACAACCTCTATCCAGAGACACTAGATTTGGAAAAGAAGAAGTCATGAATAAAGGGAGACACATCGGCGTAACACAAGAGGAATCCCTTCTCCAAAGAAACAGACAATACGCTAGTTATATTGTGCATACCTGAAATATTAGCATTTATAGATTCAAGACAAATGAAGAGTAATGAGTTAAAGAGTTTCAGATCGAGTATTTATTTCCAGAGTGAATATATGAATGAGAGGAGACTTCAAGAAACTGCGATGTGGATAGCTTACATTTATATAAACTTTCATCCAGATGTTTCACTGCTGTGTAGGGGTGGCCTTCATACATGTCGAGTTTCAGAGGAAATCAGTCACTTCACGGTTAAATTCATCAAAGTGTATCAAGCACAATTTATGAAATCAAATGAAATAGTAATTGTTTTTTTCTCAGATAAAATTCTGAGTCATCTGAACACGAGGGTAAATTGAAGTCAGTTGTTGCTCTTGAGGAGTGAGTGTGTTCATGTAACATGTTAACTTCTCATTGGAGGATCAACAGAAAACATTTTTAATCTGTCCAACATACGACCACCCTCGTTCCGGCTTTTAGCCAATGCTGCCCCTAACCCACCCTTGCCAATAGCGTCATCCAAGATTGACGTAATTACAAACAATAGAAGGGAGGAGACGGTTTCAGAGGGAGGTTTGACCATACATGGTTTTATAAAACATTGTTTTTATTTGCTGAAATGGAAACAGATGAATGTGTTGAATGTAAAATAATAGTAAGTTTGAACACATACTGTTAGCCTACGTTGAATAAAATATATGGAAGAGTGGATAAGGCTAAATCAAAAGATAAGTGAGGCCGCTGGGAGAAAATTGAACCTTGAGGGTTAACTGGGCCTAAAGAAAACACAGAAAACTAATAAATGGTTACATCATAAGATTTAATTTATTAATTTTATTCAAATAATCTTCATTAACTAGAAAGTAGTGTCTTAAAGCCAACACTACATACTCCGGTACAGTAGGTGGCGCTATGCTCACTTTGAAGTCCCGCCATTAAACTAAAAGAAGAAGAAAACGACCAATCAGCTTTTCAGGACATCCCGGTTAAAAAAAGAAAAAAAGAAGTTGTCGTGTTTTTTGTCGAGTGAGATAAGCTAACAAAATGATATTTGTGAAGAGAAACCCGAGTAATATCGCTGTTTGTTCGGTAAGTTTGTGTTGACTCTTCTTCGTTTATTGTTTTTTTTGACTGAAGGACAGGATGGTAAGTGAGTGTTGGAAGCTAGCACAGCTAACCCGCCTAGCAATCAAGCTAACTGTGCTTACTTATGTCATTATTAACGTTTTGCTTAAACTACCGCTATGTTGTGTGTTCAGGTTTAAAGGGAAATTAATTGAAACCTTTCTGGTCTGGAAAGTATCTTTAGCAGCATTGAATCAACCCCTATCAGGTTGTTTCTTGATAACCGTGGACTACTAAGCTACTGAGGCTAGCATGCTAGTTGTGCCTGGCTCCTCGTTGTCAAGGCAACACGTGCATTACGTTAACCCAGCACGAGCTTTGATAAATGAATCCTACATTAAACTGTGAAAACGGAGGATTCTGTGGGTGTGAGAGTGATGAGTGGCACACATCAGTCAGGGTGTCTGCTGCAGTGTCATCAGCACCCTGACCCGACCCCAACCTGAGGACACACACACACACACACACACACACACACACACACACACACACACACACACACACACACACACACAGTGCACAGGGGCCATCTGACCCAACCCCGAACCCCCCACTAACAACAGACTACTGTGGGTTAACAACCATTTCTCATCTGTAATATCTGTATGAAAATTGTCTTTTATCTCGCTCTCTCGCTCTCTCTCTCTCTCTGTCTCTTTCTCTCTCGCTCTCTCTCTTTCTCTTTCTCTCTTTCTCTCTCTCTCTCTGTCTCTTTCTCTCTGTCTCTCTCTGTCTCTTTCTCTCTCCCTCTCTTTCTCTCTCCCTCTCTGTCTCTCTCCGTCTCTCTGTCTCTCTCTCTCTCTCTCTCTCTCTTTCTCTCTCGCTTTCTCTCTGTCTCTCTCTCTCTCTGTCTCTCTCTCTGTGTGTCTCTCTCTCTCTTTCTCTCTCTCTGTCTCTCTCTCTCTTTCTCTCTCTGTCTCTCTTTTCTCTCTCTCTCTCTCTCTCTCTCTCTCTCTCTCTCTCCCCCCTCCCCCCATTGCTATGAAAAGCCTGGCATCTGGAAGTGGAAGGATGTTTTGCTGTGGAGTTTCTCAAGTGTGCTCCCTTCCTGAAGCCGGACTATCAGCACTAACACCTGAAAGCCATGTGTTCCCTGAAAGGTATGCATCTACCAGGTTAGTCTTTTTCCCCAGTACTTAATTAAATCGCTTGAACATTTCCTCCCATTTAACCAAATGTTTTTGAAGTGCACTCTTGTTTCTGTTTGTCCCTTGATCAGTGAATTATATAACATGGACCGGAAGATTACCTACAAGCTATTTAAACATATCTGTCATGCACTTCAATCAGTGTTGTCTGAGTAGAAGTGTTGTTGTCTGAGAATAAGCTTGCGTAAAACAGCTGTTACTCTGTGAGCTGGGGTCTTTTTTCGGTATCAGTCATGCAAAAGCAGTACAACATGAGAGTCTCCACTGCCCAACCAGTTAGTAGTTCCTGCTTTGTTGCCTACTTTTTGTTTGTTTCTTTAAAGAGATTGGAGTATGACAATGATGAGTTGCACTATTTGTCGGGTTGCTGTTTGCAGTTGCACGGCTGACCTGTCCAGACAAACTGTGGTGACACCCATTGTGCACAGGGGCCATCTGAGTCACCTTCAAATCTTACAGTTTATGTTTTATAATTTTTTTTTAATTTGTCATGTCCTCACCTACACTTTGTCTTTTTGCTGCTTTCATCCTTTCAAGCTTGGAGGGCCTGGTTAGGCAGCATGTTGGAGCCATTGTGAAAAAGACAAACTGAACTCACCTGTGAGAGTTCTGTGTAAGTATTCCAACCTGCAAGCTGGTGAGGACATGCACCAAATTCTGTCAATTCATGCGTGTCTTATTTAGAGCAAATCTACTTTCCCTCCAAATGGTCCTCTCCTGAATGTCCCTCAATCAATAAAGTATTGAGTATTTCCGTCTTTATGTGATTGGCTAAAAATATCTCGTGTATGATAATGATAATACATTTAATTTATAGCGCACTTTACAGCTTTGCAAAAAATCTCAAAGTGCTACAGAGAAGAATAAAAACAAATTTAAGCAACTAAGGACACTTACAGCACAAGCAGAAGGCTCTTTTTAAAAAGGTGGGTTGTTAGGGCCCTTTCAAAAGCGTCCGCAGACTTTGGCGCCCTTAGCGGGTCGGGGAGAGCGTCTCACAGACTGGGAGCAGGTATCAGTCGGGACCTGTTTGAATTGATTGCTGCTTTCGATTGGCTGCAATATTAGTTAAAACATGTGAAATAAATCATGATGTTCATGTCATGTCAGAGTGTCTGATAGGTTGATAAGTCATCTCTGGGGTTCTGTGGGTGTGAGAGTGATGAGTGGCACAAATCAGTTGGGGTGTCTGCTGCAGTGGCATCAGCACCCTGACCCGACCCCAACCTGAGGACACACACAGTGCACAGGGGCCATCTGACTCAACCCCGAACCCTCCACTAAATATGACTATAGAGGGCTATCACATATCCTTAGCTACATTTGTCGTTTAGAAACATGATGTACAGTACGAAGGAGTTTTCACTGTGGCACCTCAGCACATTCATATATTTATCACTGTTAATATCTTGGTTCATTTCTATTTGTCATTTCGCACCTTTTGCCAGCACACAGTTGCTCTGCTGGTCACTAATGACCCACTTAAAACTTCCTCTGGCTCTGATCAGTGGCCCACTTGGTAGTTGGACTCTTGGTGGGTTTTTTTTATTTTTTATTGGAAACAAACTGCCCACGATGGCTGTTTTCCCTCCCGTTTGTCCTGATTACTAACTTAACTAAATCATGGGCTCTGCTTTTAAATTCCCTTGCCTGTTCTTTTTCTGTCTTCTCCCTGCCCTCCTTTGTCCCTGCAGGGAGCCTTGTGCCCAAAGCAGCAGCCAATGGTATGGTTCAAGACTCAGAAGTTCAGTCTTGACCTGCACCTGCTCTGTTTTCCCTCTATCCCAGAATTTCTGCAGTGTGACCTGAATTGACCAAAGCAGATTATGGAAACTACACGTCTACAGTATTTGTGCTTCATTTGATGATGTCCATAAACTTAGCCTGTTCTAGGGTTGATGGTATAGCAAACAAAAACCCTGTTCCAAATTTAGCTGGGCTGGTTTAGATAAAATAAATGATTTAAGGTCACGGTAACCATGTTATTATTTTACCGCAGCTGTTACTGGCAGGCACTTGCAGGAGGGTGACATGTTATGTCAAACTTTTGTCTAAGCACATGTTCTGTCTGTGTTTTCTCAGGTTATACCTGTTTGAGCCTGATGTTCAATCCTGCCTCTGTAATGCTGTAACACCCAGCATGCAGGGTCATGCACAGGTATTGGAAAACTTCTTTCTCATTTCACATTTCTCAGGTCACACATTATGCAAGATACACTTTACCATGGTTTTCTAACACTAATGTGTCCCTAGCTTGTCTACAGTCTGTCCAATTTTGTCTTCTGCCTGCTCCACTTTTAAAAAAGAAATGTGTGTTCAAAAAAGCAGCTTTTCCCTTCATGACATCACAAAGGGCAGTAACCCCTCCTCCCGGTGGGTGACACTCCCACAGCTAGGTGTTTATTCTGCCCTCTGAGTCTGCCTTCCCATTGTAAACAATCAGGAATGTTGCAAGAAAGCCTGAGCCACCCAAGCCCTTCCAGAGAGGGGGCGTGGTCAGTCACAGCTCATTGATATATTTAAAGCTACAGACACAGAAACAGCCTGTTCTGAGCAGGGCTGAAATAGAGGGGTTTATAAGCATGATCAAATACAGGATCAGAGTGGATTTAGAACAAGGAACTTTAGACATTTTAAACTTAATGAAAAGAAGTATAATATGTGACCCTTTAATTAATTCTTATTTATAGTAAAAATATATTTTTCTGTATATGATTTAAGATTTAAAAACTTGAGGTAATTCACAAAATTGTGTTACACTGGAAAAAGATCAATCAGGTTTTTCTTGTTTATTTTTCAGATGAGATGTTGGAGCAAAGTGGTGAACCACATCAACAGCGTTTCAGCTGCTTATGATGTGAACAGTGTTGACCGTCGTCTACCTTTGTCAAGACATCAGGAAGCTCTGCAAACATATTTTGGGCTTATCTATGGTGAGCTACGAAAATGAAACACACATGTTTTAAAATCCATTTTGACTTCACAGTCATCAGCTCAAACATGTACTGAGACGAGCTGTAGTAAATATGCATGAACTGTCATATTTTGTAAAATAATCCAATGAAACAGAGGGGTCATGTACATCACAGTAACAGGTGAAACTGACTGCAGAGGTGAGCGGGGCTGGTTTTCTGTGTCTGTGGATCCTCTGAAGGATTACACTGTTAGTGATTGCCTTGCATCATCAGAGGCCACAGCTCATCTTAAATATCTGCTTTTCTTACATGTCAGCCTGCAGCGTTTCTCAGCCCTGGTAATGTGTGCACTTGGTTTAAGTTGTAGCAAGGCAATACTATCCTGACAGTCACATGCATATGTAATATAATCCACAAATGAGTGCATAAGATCCTGTTAAAGACAGAACGCTCCTCTCTATGAAGTAATCTGTAGCAGGTTTTGGGTTTGCAGTCGATTCTAGTTCAATTGTGCAGATACCTATAGGAAAATATTACTATTAATTTATATATTGTAAAGGCACCGTGTTGGCCGTTTTACAGACTGTTAGAAATGTATGAACCTTTATTTGTACTACATTGTTTGTGCTTTAATCATGTCAATAAATCTGTTTTTTTTAAATCATATATAGCTGAGAAGCCAATTATGTTTTCATTGTTTTCTTATTTCTTGAACAATAGAGCCAGACTTTATGAAAGTGGCACCATGATACCATCTTGCTTTTGTGGAACTGTAAGCATGATGGCCTTTTTTTTGTACTGGGGCTTAACTATCTTTTAAAATGGACTTGCTAGAGTGAAGAGATTTGTTTGAGGCTTGCATTTCTTGGCATAAATATTTTGTTGTGAAAAGTTCACAAAATGGTAAGGTATGTGTCAGGAAAGACAAATGGATTACAGGGAGTAACGGAAAACGTGGTAACTTAGGAGAATCACACAACAGACTTTAGTAGTTTAAGATGTTTGGACTCAATTCTACAGAACATTTACATTCAAAGATAAAGAAAGACCTAGAGTAATAATTCAAAAGTTTACCTATACTCCTCTGTCTGTAATCTCCAGTAGAGCTGAAACCCCCCCCCAAACCAGAGAAATGAGCAGCTGCCATCCATGGTTGTTAGTCTGTGATGTACAGTATGCCTTCCAACCACCAGGTGGCAGTAGAACATCATTAGTTCTTTCAGTCTACAGACCGGTGCCTGATGCTCTTCTATGCTGATGCATTTTTAGGGATCACATTTCACTGCATTAATTCTGTTTTAGAAACACGAGTGCCTCAAGGCTCCACACACACATACTGATTGCTCCTGAGAGTGTAAGTGAGGTAAAGGTCTCATACTTTACAGGCAAGTTAATACAAAATATTTAGATTCTGAAATTCCTTCAAACAGAAAAATCCTTACCTTCAAATTTTTCTCAAATCTACATAGTTAGGATCTCTGGTCATGGCCCATTTGCTAAAGAAGGTCTTGTAAAAATACAAAACCAAGTTGCATGAATGTTCTGTAACACACTTGACTTCAACATATGGGATGGAAACAAAGGTCTGTTAAGGTCAGTTTGTCATGTGCAGTGTCAAAAATACCCTTAATACAAATGTACAAGAAAATCTAATATATTCCAGTTGCATCAAAACCATTTGATTTACTTCTAAAAGCTAAAAGGCATATTTTAAGGTCACATCAGTGTTTCCCCTACATTTACAGCGTTGGCAGGGTGGGGACAAGCCGACACAACGACAAACACTTAAGGAATCTTGGTGTTCATGCGTTACTGTTAATGACAGATGTCCTTTTCTATCGGAAAGATATCCTTAAATGACTTCTTTCCCTGATTTCCGAATCTATCCACTATCTACAATAAAGGCACAAAAAGACCAAAATAAATCTTAAAAAATATATATATATTTTACTTGACCTTCAGGGGGGGGCCCAATATGATGGAAGGGGAAACACTACACATATTCTACACCTTTTTAACAAGTTTAAATAAGTCTCTGAGCTCCCCAGAGATTCAGAGGTTATCCACCTGGGGGCGGGGTTACTGCCCTTGGTGATGTCACAAAGGGAAAATCTCCAAAACGGCCTTTTTGAGCACACATTTTCTGAAAAGTGGAGCAGACAAAAGACGGAGACTGTGGACTTTTCTCACAAGTAGGGGGGTTTGTGGACAGACGAGGGACACATACTAGTGTTTGCATGATATGCAACCTTTACAGAGGTGATTCAATGGAAAAATAGGATAAGTATAATTCAAGCTTTCAAAAGAGCATTCATACTCTGGTATTTTGTATTTGAATAATCTAAATGTTAACATGAGCCTCATAGTCGGTGCCAAACAAGAGAAAGTAGTAAACAATCCCATCTCCATACTTCCTCGAGCAGTGATTTAAGTCGAGACATGGGAAATATACAACTCAAGCGATTCTCAGCGTCTACACCGTTCAGTCCATATGTTCTCTACCTACATCTGTCTTTTGTTTCCTCTCTGTTCTCTCCTTACACTCAGCTGTTCAGTGAATAGAGAGTGTACTGCATGCAGTTTGAGCTCTTATCACGTCATCGCCCCATGAAGCACACACTCACATATAGTGTGCACGTTTAATGCTTGTACCTACACTGCAAGCTACTGCACGCTAGCACAAGCTAACTGCCGTGTTTGTCACCCGCCTGTCCAACAGAAAGCAGACCAACTCTACGTCAGCATGTGAAAGCCAACACAAGGTTCACCCTCGTTTTGGAGCGTCACTATGTCCGCCATATTGCCTATGCCAGTTTGAATTCTGTCCACTTGCTGAATTGTATCCACTCCTTAACTCACCTGTGCTCTGTGTGCCTTAATGTAAAATAATGCCGCTATTTTCATTATTTTAATTTCCTTCCATCCTGTCTGCCTGTCCTGTTGTACTTGGAAAATACGTAATTAAACGTTTCATCGATAGACTTCAATCTTTGATTGTGCCATTTGCATTCGTGCCACATTCTCCAAAGACACTTTTTGTATTCAAGTGAAAGTGTGCAGTGAAGGGCACTCGGTGACTTCATTTGATGTAGAACAAGAGACGAATCAATTATTCATCTCGTTAATTGTGAACTGACACCAGATTTATTTTCAGAGCACTCTCCTCAAAGCTTCCATCGTGTGTTTGTTGCAGAGCGCTGTCATTAACTTTAGAGATTCCCGGAGTACCGCGGGAGTCGTTTTAAGTCGTTTGATTTTCGGCTAATGTCAATCAAGTCGTCACTTTTCACCAAGAGCTGTCAACATGAGACGAGCTGTCTGTCAGAGTGTGTCTCTGAGCTGCACAATGCTTTGCTTCTGTCAAACTAAACCCGACTGTACCAGACTGTAGGCTGACATCACTGCTATAGCAACCAGCCGTATGTAACATACGGTGTGTGTGTGTGTGTGTGTGTGTGTGTGTGTGTGTGTGTGTGTGTGTGTGTGTGTGTGTGTGTGTGTGTGTGTGTGTGTGTGTGTGTGTGTGTGTGTGTGTGTGTGTGTGTGTGTGTGTGTGTGTGTGTGTGTGTGTGTGTGTGTGTGTGTGTGTGTCAGCTGTAAGGAGATGTTTCCTCCTGTACTCTGAGTGAAATTTGGGCTGTGATACTACGAGATATAAGATCTGTTCACTCAGGTGTTGTAGATATCAGTCCTGTTCCCCCTCTGGCTGTGTGAGGATACGACTCCAACTCTCTAAGCACTTTACTTCTTCTTCTTTCCTGTTGCTGTGAAGGCTTTCCTCAGTCACTCAGCAGTAAGTTTGATCCTCAGGGGTTGCAAACTAATTGTCTTTAATGATCAGAACTTATGTTCAAATGGCACTTTGTGGCTCAGGACAAGATAAACTGCTTTTTGAAACAACAACAACAAAAAAAACGGACCGCTTTTGATTTTGTTTCTTCCCAAGCATCTGATTCAAAATGTCAGTAAACTTGATTAACTCTGGAGAACTCCCACTTTCAACATTTTAGTAAATTGTAAGGAGGGTTCTTTTTAAAGGTCACATAATATGCAAAATACACTTTACCATGGTTTTCTAACACTAACACATGTCCCTAGTCTGTCTACAGACCCCTGAATTATGAGAAAAGTCCATCCTCTATGTCTTGTGTCTGCTCCACTTTTCAGAAAATGTGTGCTCAAACAGGCCATTTCAAGATTTTCCCTTCGTGACATCACAAAGGGCAGTAACCCCTCCCCCGGTGGGTGACACTCCCACAGCTAGGTGCTTGTTCTGCCCTTTGAGTCTGCCTTCTCACCGTTTCATTATTGGATAGCTGTAGAGAAATTGAGTCAGTACTCGGGTACCATCCTTGGTGACAAACTGACCTTTGATGCAAACCGAACGCCATCTGCAAAAAGACAAATCAGAGACTGTTATTCTTGAGAAAGTTGAGGAGTTTCAATGTTGACAAATCTCTTTTACAAATATTTTATACACATTTTATTGATTCTATTTGAACTTTTGTGACGATCTGTTGGTTTGGTAACCTCAACATTGAGCAACAAAAACAGGCTGGAAAATAGTTAATCATTTCCGAAAGATTGTTGGCGTTGACTTGAATAATCTTGGCCATGTTTTTAAAAATAGGAGCCAATCAGAAGGCAAAGACCCTCACCACCCTCTGCATGCAGAGTTTAGACTTCTGCCAACAGGGAGGAGGTTCACTTATGTTAGGAGGGACAAATCAAACAGATACCCGAGGTCGTTTGTCACATCAGCAGTTGGGTTTTTAAATAAGCTGTAGGCACTGTAGTCAGGACACTTATATTATGAACTGTTGGTCTTTGTGTCTCTTAGCTCACTTACATTCATCATGATGATATCCATGGGTGTTTATACATATGTATTAATGTCTTTATGCTGTTTTTAGAACTCTGTTGCAAACCAAATCGCTCCTCTGGGACAATACAGACATTCCAATCCAATCTAATCCATTGCGTAAACAATTGGGCATGGTGCGAAAAAAGCCCAAGTCACCCAAATCCTTCCAAAGGGGCGTGGTCAGACACCGTTCACTTCCATTTAAAGCTACAGACACAGACTTTTTTGTTTTTTCTTGGCTGCAGGCTACATTCATATTAACTGTTGGATTAGCTTGTTTAGTGTTTTCGTTTCATGTCACCGTCGATCGACGTTCAACAAGTAGAAAAAAAGACATCCTTGTTGCTTCCACTCGAGCCCTCCACCACGGATTCAGAATAGTCTTGTTTTTGCTTCTGTCTCTGGTCAGACTTCCTCGTGTCCCCACAGAAGAGTGTGACTCATGGCTCTGATTGACAGGAGTGCAGAGAGTGATCATAAAGGAGGTATCGGCTAGCCTCAGTGACCGGAGGCAGCTCTTGTTTTGCTTTTATCTGAACTCACCGGGGAGTGGAAGAACATCAAGCTGCCCATAGATGTTTCCTTGGTTCCAGGGGGTATAAATATGTCCGACAGCTGAGAGAGAGAGAGAGAGAGAGGCAGAGATGGGGGCACCTCTTAAAAAGAGATAAATATGTTTGTGGAGCCTGGGGAGGCTGTCGTGCGAGAGGTCCGGAGGGAGATGCACCTTTCATGGCGCTCTGAGCACACAGTGGTGCCGGTTGCTGTGCAGATGATGATGGACGTGATCAAAGGAAGGTTTCATATGAACAGCTAAAC